ATGGTTTCCTTTCATGCCCCCTGATTGTTGCTTGATCAAAAAAAAAAGGAAGATCGGAAGCCAAACACTTCAATAGACAAGATAGTTAGACAAACAGCTAGACAGAGCAACCACTGTACATTAACCCTCTCAAGGTCAATGACTCCAGACCAGTGTTATTTTAGTATTATTTATACACCATTATAGTTTTAGTATTTTGTTATTATATATATCAGTTGTCATTTTAATTTTAGTTTAAGTAATTTTTATGTGCTTTGGTTATTTTTATTAGTGTTTATTATTATTAAGGTTTAATTTATTTTATTCCCATTTTAGTTTTAGTTCAGTAAGAGTTTTAGTTTTTATTTATTTCCAGTTAGTAATCGTAGTGCTACTAAACTTATTTCAGTTAGCTGTCAAGGCAACATTTCTAATTTTCATTTAGTTTAACCTTCTAATATTTATATTTCATTTCAGCTTTATTTTAATTAACAAACATGCTTTTAATCATTTTAGTTTAATTTTAGTTCATCCTGCTTCAAACAGACTAAAGACCCTCAGTCAATGAACAAAAGTTCTGCCTTCATCATGTGGACTAGCTCTTGCAGATCTGATTTTGAATGCATCAGATATGCCTTTTGCAAACCAAAAAGATTCTTTCTCGTCATGAATGATACAGCTTTATGTGAACATGATAAAATTTGTTAGATATGGGTCCCTCTGGTTTAAGAAAAGCCCAAACTTTAGCATTAAATGAGAGCAAAGAGCATAAACTGGGATGGGCTTGAGGGTTAGTAACACTCTTTATGTCTCTCTTCCATGAACTCTTCTCACTCCGTCACACACAATTAAATGTGCTGCATTCAGCACAATTGGGACCAATCAGGGACCTGGAGTCCCCATGCCCCAGTGCACGAACCACTAGCTGGATAAGGCCTGGAGCAAAAGGGGTCACTCCCCGGGGTGAGTGCTTTGCGTTCTGCTCTGATCGGAGACCTGCTTTGTATCTGGAGTTCCATTCGCTTTTTTAGGATATGGATGGGTCCTTCATCTGTGTAAATGGGGCAGGCTAACAGGAGAAAGAAACTGGGGTGTTTGGAGAGACGGCGGCAGCGGATTAACTGGAGAGTGAAATATGGCTGTGGACTGAATGGAGATGGATGAAACCTTCAGCCCAGAGAAGACCTAAATAAATGGATTACTTCAGTTTGATTTTCAAACAAAAGAATCACATAATTTAATCTATTTTCTAAATGCATGTTATTGATCTTGTTGTAAACAGTTAATTCGTGCATTTTTCATTTCATATTTTACTTTTTTTTTTGAGCTTGTAATTTTGAATGTCTTCAGGTGAAACGACAGACTTTTCTCTGATGATGCATGTCAGACTTCTCCAATCATTTTGCCCACTTAAACTCTGCCCTTTCCTACAATCGACTGCAAGCTCACACTTAGATCTGCCTCAGTCCAATCAACAAATAGATAGAAGCAAGTCACGCCCTACAGTTTTTTTCCCCAATAACCTGTTTTACTCAGATGTATGTCACAATATGCAAGAAAAGATCTTTTGGAAATTCCATTACATAAAGACTTTAAGGAATTAGAGCACAAAGTGCAAAACTAAACATTTTCTAAATCAACTTAGTTAGTGGGTTGTCTAAATGACTAGGTCCCAGGCATCCTGTATAATTAAATTGGTTCAAGGTAATTGCACAAAAGTCTTTTTCCTTAAAAAAAACAAAAAAAAAAAACAGGAAGACCTATGGAATCAGATGCATGAAAACATTGCTCACAGCAGGCAACATGAAATTAGACAATAACCGTCTTTAAATGTATTGATGAAGTGAAGACAGCAAATTTGTTACAAAAGTGGTGTTTTAATTAACTGGCAGTAATTTTTTTAAACAAACTGGGTGTTGCCAAAAGTATTTTGATGCTGGACAAGTAATCGACCATCCAGACCCATTGCTATCACCATACCAGAGATGACAGAAAAACAGACCTTCCCATGCTGACTGACACCTTTTCTAGTCGTAAGTTTAACTTTAGTAATTTTGTTATGTGGTTTTGTCATTTAGTTTTTGTTAGGTTTATATATATATATATTCCTTGGACATAGTTATAGGAATGAGGCCTGAATGCCAGTTTTCAGACTATTTCAGAAAAAATTTCTGGAATCTTGCTTTTGATTATAAACACTGACAGAGAACCCTTTATACAGATTTCATATTAACTCTATGAACTCATAAGGTCCCTGGCACCATCCAGACACACTGGGCTGAGACTGATGACATGGTAGAGCAGTGAATTGATTCACAACATCGATGATGACCACGGTGACTGCAGTAACTGCAATAACAACACAGCATCGATCATGCCCTACTGCTGCCCGATACTGCTGAGTAAGCATACTGGTAAAACAGGCTGCGTGTGTATGTGTGTGTTTTTGTATTTGTTTACAGAACCAGAACTGAATACTTCTAATAAGTACCTACTCACAGCTGTTGACAACTGAAATGAATGAATAAGAGAAAATGAGAGAGACACTGGTTTGGTCCAGCTCTCTCGTATCCTGATATGTACTGTGTCCTGGAAAGGCCTTTCCTATGGGTTCAATAGACAGGCCATGCTTGCATTTTCTTTTCTTTTTTTTTTGGTGGCGGTTAACAAAAGCCAAAGGCAAAATAGCAGCAAACAGCACTTTTACACAGCCATTGCTTTTCATTTGCACACAACAACAACAGAGGGGAGAGGTGGCCTGCTGTATGACAACAGACAATACGCAAAACTGACTTTCAGGTAAAAAAAAAAAAATGTTGGCTGAAGTGGAAATTTCTGAATTTCTACAGAGACTCGTACATACTCTTTTCATTTTTTCAGGAGAAAAACCTAAGGGTGTACTCAGGGCCGTCCTTAGCTGATGCGGGACCCAGTGTGAGGTAGGGAGCGGGGCCCCCCTAGGTCCATTTGCAATCGCGTTCTGGGGGGGGGGGTCCCCCTCGGTCCATTCACCGCACCAGTTGCACCCCACTAAGGACGGCCATGGGTGTACTGTTATTGCCCAAGTGTTGCCTAACCACTATCGCAGGCCCAGGCAGTGAGAAGCCCAGCTCTGAAAACACACAAACACAGATACAGCTCTGGAAAACTCATAGTACAGAAGAATGCCAAAAAAATACAATGTGGTGGAGCCTCCACATTCAACACACAACTGGGTTAACTAGAAAACAACATGACAACAATAGAACTTCATACATTAAATTCTTTTAGGGGGCAAATTGGGGGCATTTAAAAGCATAGGTCACACAAAAATTAAACTTCTGTCATAATTTACTCACTTTCAGACCTAAGAATGTCACTTCACAACACCACTCAATTTCTCAACATCTCACACAAATAAACCGACTTGTTACCTAACTAGACTAGTAACAACTGACTTGAGACTTGACTTGGACTCTCTTGAATTGTCTTTACATTTTCCATTTTAAAATTGTATAATAATTTTAATATAGCACTTTTCTACAAACTCAAGGTCACTTTACAAGTTGCGAGCACATATAAATTAGAACAACCACAACAAAACAACACCTTTAGGTATAAAGGAGAAACATTTTTAGACAGTTTCAATAAAAAGGAGTCTGTGACATTTACTTTGCACAAAAAAAGATATCTAAAAAAAGAAGTAGGCATTTAGAAAAATAAAAAGGCTTGCATAAGGTATTGCCAGCCAGTGTGCCAAATTATTGCCAGGTATGTGTAAACATACCTGGCAATAAAGCTCATTCTGATTCTGATTCTGATAAAAAGTTGTTTAGTGGTTTTATTTTTAGGAAATGTGACTTTCTGAAAAAAAAATAAAAAAATACAATATACAAGAGACTTGACTTGGACTCTGTGTTAAAGACCTATACCTACAGTATACCTACAGAATTGACATCAATGCTCAAGTTCAAGTAAACAGATCCATTCCGGCTCATAGTCAGGGACATCAAAATGCTGACAGCGTCATAATCTAATGTGGCATTTCAAAGTTGGTAAGCAATCATTTACTCTGCCTAATGTGATCAAATTGGCATTAACCCTCTGCAGTCTGAGGCGTTTTTGGGCCCTAAAGATGTGTTGGCATCTATATAACGTTTTAAAACATACATAACAGTATTAAAATGTAAACAGTTAAACTAATTATTGACATTTTTATGTAGAAGTGATGCCAACCAAGTATTGAGGCTCATAAGAAATGCACTTGACATATAGTTAATACAAATGTTGTTAAAGAGCTTCAGAGCACAGGGTCCAACGTTTACATTTACTCAAAGGCACGTAATTGAGATTGAGAAATCTCAAAACTAAGAGAATAAATATTTGAAAAGGTGGACATACTTTAAAAAAACATTATTGACCCATTATGGTTATGTTTATCATGATCACATTTTTGTTTTGGTGACTTAAAGCAAGAAATATCCCACATATATCATCAGCCACATGGAATTCTGGAGACAACAAGCCCATTAGGCATACTAGATCGACGAATGATAAATAATGTAACTAGGGATGCACCGATACCGATACTGGTATCGGTATCGGGCCCGATACTGAGCTCCTGTACTCGTACTCGTACTCCTTAAAATGCCCCGATACCAAACGCCGATACCACACAGCATGTGATAAGCGCCATATTCAGACAAAGAAACCGACAACAGCGAGTACTGGAAAAAGTGGTATCGGTGCATCCCTAAATGTAACGTTAGACATAAAAAATATGGATGTATTATGTCGCAGCCTCAACTGACTCGACATTTTGTTTGTCCAGCAAACGATATAATGCACACCCCGTATTTTCACGGTAAAACATTATTCATCGTCAAAGCCATAACACACACACACACACACACACACACACACACACCAACACCACAGTCTTTTCCTGTGATCAAAACAGAGCACTTGCGCGCGACGTTAGCGTTAGCAGCTCAGCTTTGTCCAAGCCCATGAGATGCAAAACCGATTAAAAGACTGTTTACCTGTGTTTATCAAGCTCTGGCGCGGCGTCTCTCTGATTTCGGTCCGTATTTTGCCGTCCCTCTGTATTGTTACATCGCGTGAATCGCTCAGCGGCTATTTTCTGCCAACGGCTGACGTGAATAACGGTGCGCGAGACAGGTTCAGTTGTTTGTAAATCTCGAAACGGTGCCCCCAGCGTGCGCGTTACCTTGACAGCGCCTAGTCTTCTGCTAAAACGCGACAAACGCTGCCCTGTGCGCATGCGCAGACCGAAGCCTTGACCACCTCCCACCAAAAAAAAAAAGAAAAGAAAAAAACCTGGCACCGTGTGGAGCAGATGAAGATGAAATTAGCACTTTACCTCTGAAATTTCCACAAAAAAGTCAGTGAAGATGGTCCAGTAAGGTACACTATATTGCGTCGTTTCAGTATGTGCTGTCGTCTGATAAATGCCCGTGTTACGCGTGAAGCAAATGTAAGCACAAAAAAGTGACCTAAAGACAAATGTATGAGCTTTTCTAAACAGAAAATTGTGCAAATTCAAGTTTTGAAAATGAGAGCTTAGATTATGCATGATTTGCATCCGATTCCATTCAGTATTTTATCAGTAGATGGCAGCATCGTTGATGGTAATACATAAAACTAAATGCACTAACGTTATATACTTTTAAAAATGTAAAAATTTAACAGTAATGTAAAATTCTTAAGTACTTGGTTAAAGTTACCTCACCATATGTGACCCTGGACCACAAAACCATCTCAAAGCTGAATAAATAAGCTTTCCATTGATGTATGGTTTGTTAGGATAGGACAATATTTGGCCGAGATACAACTATTTGAAAATCTGGAATCTGAGGGTGCAAAAAAATCAAAATATTGAGAAAATTGCCTTTAAAGTTGTCCAAATTAAGTTCTTAGCAATGCATATTACTAATCAAAAATTAAGTTTTGTTATATTTACGGTAGGAAATTTACAAAATATCCTTATGAAACATGATCTTTACTTAATGTCCTAATGATTTTTGGCATAAAAGAAAAATCTATAATTTTGACCCATACAATGTATTTTTGGCTATTGCTACAAATATACCCCAGCGACTTAAGACTATATATTCTATCTAGAAATATATATATTTTTTATTCTACAAGATAACACATACATTTTCTATTAAAAATGGTCAAATGTTTTTACAAAAATGTTACATTAACATTGTATAATTAGCTGACATATTCATTTTATGCTATCCCATAGTACTTCAAATAGTTTTTTGAGTCATCAGTTTTTTTTTCCAGTCTGATGTAAAATATCTAAATAGATGGCAACATCCATTGTAATTTTCACAGAACCATTTTAAAATAAATTATTGTTTAACAGGTGGCATTAAGAAATTGTTTTGTCTGAAAAATGTTTAATGATGAAAAGTAAAAAATACAATGTCAAGATTTCCTGCCCACTGACACGTCTGGCGCTGTCCATGGTCCTGGAAGCAATTTGATTCTGTTGTAGGTAGATGTACCCAAACTCTTCAGGATATGCTTCACTTTACAAACCTTTACAAACACAGAGACCATCACAGCGAGGTGTACTGCAGAATGAATGATAATTGTCTTTTATTAAATTAATAGCAGCTTCCCAAAATTATACCATTGTGAGGGTAATGTTTGTTTTGTTTAGTTTTTTAACCAAAAAAGGAATTTGGTAAAACATTCACAGGCTATGGTATGAAAATGGGAGTTTGAACAAGGGAAGGTGATACAGGAGAAATTCTAAGGTTCTGCACAGAAAAACAGCAAGAATTTACAGCTTTATACATTATAGGTTCCTCAAATTAACATTTTTGGTCTTACAGACCAACATTTGTTGCCATGGACAGTCCGTCCATATAAAGTAAATGGTTTTAGTACTCTTGTCTGTTGTGCAATTTTGCTTCTTCTCTCACTCTGTCATGACCACCTGATGAGGCAGCACACAACTAACCTTACATTCACAGGAGAGCTTGTTCCCGAGAGCTGGAGGCTAATTCCTTCAATACCTGCTGAAAAAAAATCCTTGAGAAGCAGTTTGGACTGGACTAAAACTCAAACCACATTTGTTATGTCTTAGCATTAGAGATGCAAATTGAAATTGTTGATCCAATTTTTATGTTAAGTATGACTTATACCCCATTGTTTTGTTGGGTCCAGTTTTCTAGGTCACTGTAACAAGTGATTTAAAGAAAACTAGAGTTTAGCAGTCATTTCCTCTGCATTGTTAGACCAGGAAATAAGATATAACCCCTAACTGTGTTATTGGTTTACTGCAACTCAAAGGATTCATCATATCGTACTGGAGATGTTTACAAGTTACACAAACAATGATCTGACTTGCAAGTGTATTTAGACAGCATCGCTCCATCCATATTGTAATGCAACTAGCTTGGATGACACAGTAACTCTTTTTTTTTTTTTTTTAATTCACACTTTTTGTAATTATTCAACTGACCACAAGAGGAAGCTATGACTCTATCTGTCGTATATTCGAGTGAACTGCAGTCTCGTATGTCCAATGCCGCTTTAGTAAAAGACTGGGTGCTCATGCAGGACTTAATGGCATTCAAACATCTGAACCTGTAAACACAAACACACACACACACTTACACACACACACACACACGTTACATTCCCTCTCCCTTTTCTGACCTTGGTCAGATTATTGTTTCTGTAGCTAACTAAGCATACATTCTATGCTGTGATACAGCTGAGGTTGCGTAGACAGCCGATGTCTCCTAAACATGACTTGTAGCTCGGTCCTGTTTTCCACGTCACACTTAAAAGATAGTTTTCAGACACTGCTGGTGTGTTCTGTGTGGCTGTGACCACTGCTGATAGACAGCTCTGATATTCCCATTTTCAGCTCCAGTCCAGGGTCAGTGTCCATGTCATGGGGCTCCAGATTTCGGATTCCATTGCCGTCCCCATTGCGGCAGTTACTGTTCCGGTCAATGGAAACTTTTTCGCAGATCAGGATGGGAGTGACTACTGCATGGGATGGACAAGGAGCGTGTATAGCGATGGGATTAAGCCCCACCCGTCTATACTGGCAGTGCATGTAACTTGAAAACGCTCTTCGGTAGGTCTTGTTAAATAAAGTGTACACTAAAGGATTTACTCCTGATGAGATGTAGCCCACCCAAACGAAAACATTGAGCAGTTCTGTTAGCACAGGCTTATTACAGGCTTTGTGGCAGAGGACATACAGAACATTAGTGATGAAAAAGGGACACCACATGACGAGGAAGAGGAAGAACACTACACCCAACACTTTGGATGCTCGTCGCTCGTTCTTGATGGCCTGCATCATGCCTCGCCGCCCATGGGTTCCGGTTGGGTCCCGTCCAGCGGGCGAATTCATTTGAGATGGTGCTTCTGAACTTGGGATTATTGAGATGGTATCTGGGGGCACGGTCAGACCGAGCATGTTTCCATCGCTGTTGCTGATCCGTAGACAGTTCAGACTGCTGCGACGGGAGGCTGGTGGCGGGGCCAACTGGGAAGTAGGTGGAGCTGGAGGTTGCAAAGGCTGTTGAGAAGAGGCTTTGTCCTCGTAGAGGAAGACTGTGGCCTGACGCTGAAGCGCTTGGACGGTGAGACAATAAGTAACCACCATGATGACCAGAGGAATGAAGAAGGCAACAAAAGAGCCAACCAGTATGAAGTGTTCCTCATTTAGAGCACAGTTGCCGTTTTTCAAGACCTTTTCTCTGTTATGCAGTCCGATCACTGGGATGGGCATTGAGATCCCTGTGTTGGAAGAAGTAATAGAATATTAAACAAATACATATAAACAAACATCAAAGAAACAGTCCGACTACAAAATGAGAATGAGACAACTGGAATGCAAGATGCCGGAGATGACAGACCAACAGCTTCAGCTAATCACACTTAGAGAGATCTATCCTCAAGTCAATTCCTCTCTCTTATCCAGCTTGATCAGTATTCCTGATGGTTGAGACAGAGGATCTTTTATTTAATTAGAGCAGATAAATCAGACTGTCAAGGCAGATAGAGCCTTAATGCTGAAACAAATAAACATTGGGCTCACGTTTAAGCGGGAGAGAGGTTAGATGTGTGAACACTCTGTCATTTGCACTAACGTTACTTAGTCTAACTCAGGGGTTCTCAAAGTTTTTGGGGCCAGGGAGCCCTTACAGCAGAGAAAATTTTCCAAGGACCCCCTCATAGTTTTAACTATGATTAAGCATACTGTACAATTTGTACTCTTAGATGAAATTGGAACTTCTGTTTTAATGTTTCTGGATTCTTCTTCTTTTTTTAATTTCCTGGACTCATTTAATGGTTAAATTAAATTGTAGTAATCAAAAATCACATCTAATTAACTGAAATCATAAAACTTAGAAACTGTAAAAACAATTATTATCATTTTCTAACAGTAATAGGGCCCTATAAAATTCTTTCTTTCTTTCTTTCTTTCTCTTCATGTTTTTTTCCCCCTGGATGTGTGATTTAATATAAATATATTATTAAAAACGGTGGTAATAAGATGAAGGCATAAAACATTAACTTTTAAAATATAATAAAACGAAAATTTAACTATTACTTTAATTCTTGCCAAACAAATTGTTGCACAACAGAGGTTTACTGTTAAAGTTTAAACATGAAAGAAAGAATTGTGTGGGCATTACTGTCAATATTTCTTCAAGTTAAAGTGGATTTTTATTTTGACGGACCTTTGAGTTTCTGTGTGTGTGTAGCTTATATATGACATGACGATAGTTTTTCTCAAATGAAACGGTGAAATGCTCGTGAAGTGACTCTCAGAGCAGTTCTAAAGATGAAGTTCATGTGTTCTTGTCCTCATATAGTGAGACGGCAGACATGAGAAACACCTCTAGCACCACGTGGGCTTCAGTATGTGTGTAGACACATGCATTTTCTGTAAAGCTGCTTTGAATCAATGTGTATTGTGAAAAGCGCTATACAAATAAATTTGAATCGAATTGAATTGAATAGTAGATAAAAGAAGAAAATAGACTTTTTAAAATCTTTTTGAGGAAGTTTAGCAAGAGGAAGAGATGGAGAGTGAAAGCTAGAGAGTCTTTTTAATTTCTATACTTAACCACAACTACCAGTAATATCAATGCAGACAAGTCTTTTAACTCTGCTATTGGAACGGATTAGTCATGGTCACTCTACATTATGTCAAAAGTCAGACTCTAGATGGCGCTAATGCATTAGCATGCC